CCTCTCTTTCCCAAGAGAGCGAAGCAGGACAGGAACAGGAACAAGCTCTTACAAGAGCTGTAACTAATTATAGCTCATCCCATACTCCCACCTCTGATGCTCGCCTTCAAGATTTCTCGAGGGCTGCCCAGTTCCTGTGGAACTCGCTTCCCTCCTCCGTTAGATGCTCACCCAGTCTCCACTCCTTCAAAAAATCATTAAAAACCCACTTCTTCATAAAAGCGTATGAATTAAACTGTTAATAGCTCCTGACTGATTCCTCTTCTTCAACTGTCACTAGTCTAATACTATCCTTACCTTTTTGTGTCATTTTACCCCTCTAGCATGTAAGCTCATTGAGCAGGGCCCTCAACCCCTCTGTTCCTGTGTGTCCAACTTGTCTGGTTACAATTACATGTCTGTTCGTCCACCCATTGTAAAGCGCTGCGGAATTTGACGGCGCTCTATAAATATCATCATAATAATCATCATAATAATAACAAGGGAGTATAAAGAGCATAGCAATCTCTTGTAGCAGATTCCCCCAATAAGAGACATGACTCTAAATTGAGGGTGAAGTAGAACTGGTTTAATGAAGGCATTTCTTATATACAGTTTTCCCCACAAGGTTACCACCCACGTGGACCTTGCAGAGCACAGGACACAAATTCACAACAGCCAATCAACACAGTATTGTACAGCTAGACACTCCCAGCTAATGTACACAATCCCTCCCCTCTGCCTGTGATACAATTACCAAACACAATGGACTAACTCAATTACCACAGGCAGAAAATATAAATTTTTACCCAAAGTCCAGAAACACCCCAAAACAACAACATATCCCCATAAATCTGGGTGAACAACATATCCAAAAAATCACCCAGATCAGAGCAGTGGTTCAAAAGTTTTATGGAAGTCACATTTGACCGACCGCAAGCATGGCTTTCATGCCCAAAACAGTTCCACAGATTTAGGCTGTGCGGCCGGTCTATCTTCTCCTCTATCCTGGAGATAATTGGCTTAAGTGGCTGTGGTAACTTAATTATCTCCAGGTACAGGAAATATAAGTCAAAGCTGTTACAAAAACCACCTAAGAATATACAACTCTTATAATACAATGTTTAACCTATATGTCCAACATATCCCCAGATAGCTTGGATCTGAGCGCTCAATATGTCCAATGTTAAAAGTGTCCTATAGTACAGGGAAGGGTGGGGTCAGACAATAGCAAGGGCAGATGAGAGATTGAGGAGGGACAAAGCAGCCAGTTTCAACAAGGTGCAAATTCCCCTTTTCAGGGAGTTTGCCATGAGTTTTTGGAGGGGACTACTTGCCAGACTCCTGTCTCAAGACTATGGGCCCTGCAAAAAGACAGACTAAAAAGTGACTTCCACGGGAAAATGTGCCTCTTCCCCTCTGCCTTTTTCCTGTCCTATTGTTCTCCAGCAGGGCGTTGTCCCAGTTGAAACTGGCTGCTTTGTTTATATGATTGTTCCTGCAAGGAGACGCACACTGAAGATATTGCAGCAACCTCCCATATGCCTTGCCATTCTATGCCCTCTAGCACCTCATTCAGATCTGCTTCCCACTGATCTATATATGTGATGTCTCCCCATTCTAGTGTATGAGTGCTCAGGTGAGAGTATAAACAGGAAATTAGGCCGCTCGGGAATTGTTCCCTCTTGCACATCCTTTCAAAAAACGTTAACTGTGTTAACGTAACTGTCTTGATCCGAGGATCTCGGGCGTAGTCCCTAAGCTGAAGATAGTGGAAGTAGTCTAAAGGTATTAATAAAAGTAGAGATTTGGGAGACCCAAGCCCCCCTAACTTTGTCCCTATAAAGTATGTTACGGGAGATCCTATGTTTCTTATTCTGCCAGATAAACTTGCCAATCGCCTGTTGAAGTGCTCCCAAGTTAGATTTAGTCAAGTGGACCGGGAGAGCTTGGAAGAGAAATAATATCCTGGATAGCACATTCATTTTTACTGAATGTATTCTTCCAATCCATGAGATCGGTTTATCTACCCATTTCTCCATGTCATGTATTAGGTGTCTAATTAGTGGTACGTAGTTTTGTTGATGTAAGAGGGAGGGGTCCGCCGTCAACCATATGCCTAAGTATTTGATGTGGTACTTTGCTATATGTATGTGATAAGCCTTCCCTATATATACAGCGTCTTCGTCTCTCATACCTATGGGGAGTACGCTTGATTTGTGTAAGTTAACTTCATAGCCAGCCACCTCGCTATATTTCGCCAGTATCCCTGTTAGTGCCGCCATTGATTCCTTTGGGTCCGTTAATGTCAATAATATATCATCAGCGAATCCCGATATAACATATTGCTGTCCCCCTAAGGTGACTCCCCTAACCTCTGTGGCCGCGCGTATTGTTTGCATGAGGGGTTCCAGTGAAAGGACAAACAGCAACGGCGAGAGAAGGAATCCCTGTCTCGTGCCGTTACTCAGATGGAATGGGATGGTTCGTGCTCCTGAAATCCAGATCTGCGCCCTGACGTTGGAGTATAAGGCTTTAATTGCCGTTATAAACTGTGCCGGCATGCCAAAGTGTTTTAATATCTCAAATAGATAAGGCCATTTAACTCTAGTAGTCACATTTTAAGGCATATTTGCTTCCTCTTTCTTATTAAATTTATCAGCAGGCTATAAATGTCACACATGTTTAAATCCCTACTTTTGGCCAAATTAATTTATTAATTGCTAGGTGGGAAACCCAAACCCTTTTACACCCCTGAATCATGGAAGGTGTTGATGGAACACTTTGAGGTGGTTTGAGTCACACTGGTTGAAAACCACTGCATTATCATCTCTTTAGAAGAAGCAGCGTCAGCATTGTGAGATATATCTTTTGACCATGGAGAAAGAGTGCTGATATGTCCGGATCCTGGCGCCGGAGATCCTTCTTCTACAACAGTTTTCTTATCATCGAGGCAATATAAGTAGGATCAAAAGTGAGGCAAAGTGTAGCTGTAATGCTGTTTAATTGCACTGCTTGTACTTAACAGACAATATTACTGTATAGAAAGTGGCACCTTCTAAATATTACATATATTCTAAACATGATTTTGTGCCATTTTTATTGATATACAAAGGCAACCTTCGGATTTAAAATGGCAACAAATCAAAATACATAGTGTAGATTTACACTATTCAGAACGTAGCATATATTTTGATGGCTTAGTTCTTATTGTTTCACCATACATCATTGTTCTTTTATGCAATAAATAGTATTTATAGCATGCCTTTGTCTGCATTTTTCTGTCTGCTACAACTGAAAGCCACAGAAATGATCTAAGCACCATTAGAGTACCGTTTGTTTGCGGTAATACGATCTATGGAAAATGAACTGAGTAATCAGAAAATTCAACTGTTCTAGATGATTGATTTTCCACATAAAGAATGATTCCTTTGTTTAAATGCTCTGTATTAAGATTACATTTTTTGTCCTAGCGATGTAATCCAATTGTCAGGGAATTAATGTTCATTGTAATCCTAGGAAAGCTTCCCTACCTTCTAATGCACCCAGTACCTGAAAAAACACAATCTTTCTACGGGAAAGGAACAAACAAAACAATATCCACTTTAACAGCAGTTCCACAAGGATTACACAAAGTATAACTTTAGTTTTGTTTAAATACAAATGTTAAAAACCTACTGCTGCTTGGAACATTGGTTCCAGCAAGCGTAGAATCTTCTTCAATATACTATTTTGGACAAAGTGTTCTTTGCTCACTCTTCTATAAATAAACATTAAGGAAAAATGTGACTGAATTCTTTCTATTCCTTTTTGTGTTATGCTCTTTCATTTTTTTTGCCGTTTATATATATATATGATCTAAGTATATATTATTTATTTTTACACTGTTTTAAAGGACCACTATAGTGCCAGGAAAACATACTCGTTTTCCTGGCACTATAGTGCCCTGAGGGTGCCCCCACCCTCAGGGTCCCACTCCCGCCCGGCTCTGGAAGGGGGAGAGGGGTTAAAACTTACCTTTTTCCAGCACTGGGTGGGGAGCTCTCCTCGTCCGATCCTCCTCTGTTACTCCCCGTCGGCTGAATGCGCGCGCATTCAGCCAGTCACATAGGAAAGCATTTACAATGCTTTCCTATGGACGCTTGCGTGCTCTCACTGTGAAAATCACAGTGAGAAGCACGCAAGCGCCTCTAGCGGCTGTCAATAAAACAGCCACTAGAGGATTTGGGGGAAGGCTTAACCCATTCATAAACATAGCAGTTTCTCTGAAACTGCTATGTTTATAAAAGAATGGGTTAAGCCTAGCTGGACCTGGCACCCAGACCACTTCATTAAGCTGAAGTGGTCTAGGTGCCTAGAGTGGTCCTTTAACTTTATTTCATTTTATTTCCAGACAGCAGGGGGAGTACATGTCATTACAGGTACTCCCCCTGCTGGCACTGCTATGGACGGCTATGCCGTCCATGTGATCGTGAGGTCCTCGCGATCCCATGGCCCAGGGGGGCCGAAGAGGACGGAGGGGGACTCCCTGATCTCCCAGGTAAGTCCCCATACCGTGATTGCCGGCGACCGGGTAAGTAGAAAGGACGGTTAGGGTGTTCTATGCCGCCCTCCGGCGTTTAGAGCCGGATCCCTAAGGACGGCATAGAACGCCCGCCGTCCTTAAGGGGTTAAACAACCATGTCAAAAGAGACATCCCGTGGTCGTGGAAAAGATGTTAGTCTGCTTGAGAAGGGTCAAATCATTGGCATGCATCAAGCAGAGAAAACATCTAAGGAGATTGCAGAAACGACTAAAATTGGGTTAAGAACTGTCCAATGCATTATTAAAAACTGGAAGGCTAGTGGGAAACCATCGTCTTTGAGGAAGAAATGTGGTCTGAAAAAAAAATCCTGATTGATTGTGATTGATTGATCGATCACTTAAATGTTTGGTGAATAGTGATGTCCCGAACGGTTCGCCATGAACGGTTCGCCACGGACTCATCATTGAGTAAACTTTGACCCTGTACCTCACAGTCAGCAGACATATTCCAGCCAATCAGCAGCAGACCCTCCCTCCCAGACCCTCCCACCTCCTGGACAGCTCACTAAGAATGCAGCTTCACAATGAATGTAAAATGGATGCTGTCCAGGAGGTGGGAGGGTGTGGGAGGGAGAGTCTGCTGCTGATTGGCTGGAATGTGTCTGCTGACTGTGAGGTACAGGATCAAAGTTTACTCATTGATGAGTCCGTGGCGAACCGTTCGGGACATCACTATTGGTGAAATCAAATCGTAGAAAAACAACAATTGAACTCAACTGGTTTTAGAACATTCACTGCCACAAGGTGGGGGCTGTGGGGGCAGAGGGACATGATAGTGTCAGGAATACAGCTTTGTATTCCTAACACTATAGTGATTGTTAAAAGCCTCTGAGTTATAGGTTTGATTCCAGAAGAGCCATCACATCCTTTCGTGACTTCAAGGTCAACAAAAACAGCATAAGTGTATTAATATCCTCTATTCACATACCACTTCTGGGTTGTAAATTTGATTGAGCAGAGCCCCTAAAATATTTATTGTTAGGTCATGTTTACATTAACATCTCCCCTTTTCTGTATCTACAACAGCTGTGTTTTGTTTGTGACCTGCAATTGCAACAATGTAACGTTAATATTACTGTGACAAAACATTGACAGGCAATCTCCTTATGCTAATCCATACACAATTCGGGAGCATGGTGTGTCTTTAGTATTGCAAAACCCCCTGCACAGTCGAGCAGAATCATGCCCTATAATGCCTGGGGACAGGTTATTCTAGAGCACTGCTTAGTACACGGGCACAGCGTTTCCAATGAGATCTGGCCAGCTGTCGCAACTGCATAGCAAGCAATTCCCTTTCTTTTAGGCCGGGCTGCAAAACAAAATGCTCAGCATAAAAGCACTTAAATATTTAAATAAGTGTCAAATTCGTCTTTGTGAAGGGAGTTCCTGGTCCCATCCAGGTGAATGCTAGGCTTTAAATCTATTTTTTGCCTTTTTTTTTTATTGCAGCTGGGACCAACACGACTGACAAGGCAGTTTTGTGATCTATTCACTTTAACTGCAGATTATTTGAACATCGCATCACAAAGAGTATTACTGGGATAATTCCCCAGCCAACGAAAATGAAGAAAGCTGTTATTTTCCTTCTTTTAAACTAAGGGGGAATTCATTACAAAAGCAAAAATATTGGGAGGAAGAATAAAAAAATAAAAATAATTTTAATTTTGGAAGTTGTATTTATTATAAAATGTAATTGTTGGTAGAGTGGCCAACAAAGTTTCAATATTTAAGTTAAAAAAAAAAACACTAAGAAAAATAGTACTGCAGCAATCTTTATGAATTTATTCTTTTGGCCTAGGTTTTACAATCTAGACTTATGATTAAGTGTATAAACCCTTTAGGATTCACACATGGTATTGATTCTGTTTGCTAAGTAAAAGCAGTCAAATGTTGATGATCTGCAAAAATGCTTATTGATCTGTAATTCCCATTTTTCAGTGCAATAATCACGTGTTAGATTATGTCCCAGACCTATAGAGTTTGGTGGATTTCACATCGGAAAGCTAACCTATCCACTGATTTTACAAAGCTTGTGCTAGAATATGTTGAAAAATTGGGCACCGTCTAAAAATTTAAGTTTTGTATTGTTATTGATGAGCTCTCACATTCAGGGCAGGTGCAAGGATTTTTGACACCTTAGGCAAAAGAAAAATTTCTACCCACTCTTGTGTGTTTTTTTTCTCTCCTCCCCCCCTCCCCAGGTGGTCTCCTCTTCCCTCTCCCTCCCTCCCCAGGTGGTCTCCCCTTCCCTATCCGTCCCTCCCCAGTCCCCAGGTGGTCTCCCCTTCCCTCTCCCCCCTCCCAGGTGGTCTCCCTCTCCCCCTCCTCTCCCCAGGTGGCTCCCCTTCCCCTTCCCCCTCTCTCTCCCTCCCATGTTGTCTCCCCTTCCCCCTCTCTCTCCCTCCCCATGTGGTCTCCCCTTCCCCCTCTCTCTCCCTCCCCAGGTGGTCTCCCCTTCCCCCTCTCTCTCCCTCCCCAGGTGGTCTCCCAATTCCATCTTTCTCCCCCCTCCCTCCACAGGTGGTCTCCTTCCTATCTCTCCCCTCCCCCCTTCCCTCTCTCTCTCCCTCTCCCTCCCAGGTGGTTCTCCTTCCCTCTCTCTCCCCCTCCCCCAGGTGGTCTCCTTCCCTCTCTCTCCCCTCCCCTCCCCAGGTGGTCTCTCCTTCCCTCTCTCCTCCCAGGTGGTCTCTCCTCTCTCCCTCTCCAGGTGTTCTCTCCTTCCCTCTCCCTCCCCAGATGTTCTCTCCTTACCTCTCTCTCCCCCCCAATTGGTCTCTCCTCCCCCACCTCCCTCCCTCCCTCCCTCAGGTGGTCTCTCCGGTATGTGTTTTTCGCTCCCCCTCTCCCTCCCTAGGTGGTCCTCCTACCTCTCTCTAGTGTAGCGTGGCCGTGCTCCGCTCCGGTCCATGGTACAGGAGCTTCTGTTTGTTTCTGTACCGCGGGGCCAGAGCTTGGCCACGCTACACTGAGGGACTGACCAGAGGGGAGACCTCCTGTGCGCTTCCCTCCTGATGATCCCTCATAACTTGCGCCTCCAGGCCGGTGCGCCCTTATGGACGCGCCGGCCCGGGCAGCTCTGCAGCCGCTTGAGACTCTCTAAAGAGTGCTCAGGTGGGTGCAGCATGAGGGGGGCCAGTGCTCCTGGCGGCGCCCCTTCCTAAAGGGGAGCCCTAGGCGACTGCCTAAGTCGTCTATAGGAAGCGCCGGCCCTGCCCACATTCCAAGTGTATTGTGGGAACGTATGGATTCACAGACACCTACTGTGAGGTTGAACTAAAGTTAAAGAATTTTTAAACGTGTCAATCACCGCTTTGGGTGGATTGTGATTAATCAAAGTGCTTAATGTAAGGTACAGGGCCCAATTTTGCCAAATGGATATAAGTGGCGTCTCAAACTTTTAGAACAGTGGAATGACTGTGATCATGTCAACAAACAGTTCATCAACAGTCATGACTGTGGCTCTGTGCATAATATGCAAACAACCGACGGTGGTCATTACAAGGAATGAAATGGTTTTTGCTGTATAATATCCTTATAGAAAGATGTTCCTAAAAGTTATTTAATTTTATTTCTAGAGAATAATAAAATTTGTACAAAGATATGAAAATTATCAAAACTGTTACAAAGTCCAACATTGTTTAACTTTAAATTCTCTTGTTCATCACCCAAAAGAACAGACAAAAAAGATACAGATTTATTTGTTTTTAAAATAGCATTTGAACATCCACGACGCCCACAGTTCATCTGATAAAGTTTATTGCAAATTGTTCCTGAATGTTTTTGAGGCCACATTCCTGTTGCCTTTTTTAGACTTCTCCAATATCTTGGATTTTGTCTATTTTGACCACTGACCTGACCTGGGTTTTAATATACACGGTTCCTGTTGTATGGACTTGTTTATGAATTCGTTTTTAAGTGGCAGGTGGCCTTTCAACATGTTCCCAGAAAAGGAGACTAATGAGAATAAGCTACCTTGTTTGAAGTTAAAAATAGGTTAATATGATGAGATGTAAACAGATGCATGTACAAAAAAAAAAGGACCCTTGGATACGAAAAGTGTCACAATTAAATTTCTTAGCAACTGCTACCTACAGACTTAGGATTATTTATAAAACAGATGCATGTCTTACCTCATCTGTGATCTGGCCTCCGAATGTCACCCATGTCCCTTTAAACACAGATGTTAAATTGTCAAAAATACTGTATGGTTTATTTATTATTACGGATTTAATATATTGCAGTATTACATGTTCAATATACTTAGTTAAGTGTCACACCTGATAAAAAGTTATTTGTTAAGTTAGTATGGACATCAAATCATAACACATACACATCAAACATACATAACACACATACATCCTGAATTTCTGCTTTGAAATAGTACTCAATACAGTACAATTTCTGTTTTGAATCACAGTAAAAAATACAGATTAGGTTGTTTAGTTAATGCACAAAACCATAGTAAAAGATTAAAGAAGAACAGTCGTCTTTTCACATGTTTACAAAACAGGGGGCAGCCATATTGAAATTACTTGCATATGTAATCAACACTCAACAGTCCAATTCTAAGCCCCTGCCAAACCATCCTGTTTTTATATCTGGTGTCTAATTTCTGGGGACACTACAAAATAGTTGCCATAAAGCACTATTTTAAAAATTATTATACTGCTCAAAATAGAAAAATATGGATACTTCCTAACTGTGGAGGGCACAAAAGCTTAAAATTAAATAATCGTCTTGAAACTTGAGTATACATCAAATTATCGAAGCTGGATGGGTCATAAGCGTAGACAAGAACATTCAGCTTAAAAGTACTAATGGCAGAGGTGATGCAGGGTTAAATGCTATGTTTTGAAATTTGGTGTTTAATTAATTCTGCACAATGTCATGCAAAAACTAAATTTTTAAAGAAACACACCAAGCACCATAATCACTCTGTGCTTTGTGGGAGTATCCCGACTCCCCCTAAGTAATCATTATTTCAACGGTTTGGCTTCCTTGGGTCTACTGTGTACCGCTTCCTGCCTCTCTGCAGCTGGAATCTCCTCCTAGGAGTTTCTGTTCACTCTCCTGAGTCAAGCCATGCCATGCAGAGCCAGTTCATTGGCTACGAGCATCAGCTGATCACTCTCAGCCAAAGCCCTAAGACCTGCACTAGCATTGCCTTCCAGTTGCAGAGACAGGGGGCACCTTACAGGTAGGAAGTAAAACCATCAGCAAACGGACCACGTACAATAGGGGGCATGCCAAGGAAATCCTAGTACCATAACCACTACATGACGCTGTTTATGGTGCTAATTGTGCTTGGACTGTTCTTTCACATCGTTCTAATTAACTTATCAGAATATCCGTTTAGTTCAGATATTATTAATAATACGGTAAATAGGGATTTGGTAATTGAAGGACACTAGACATTTATAGCTTTAAACCAGCACTAGTAAGCCGTAATCAATAAGACTATTTTATTTCACATTCTGATGAAAAGGCATTTCTATTCATACACTTCTTGTAACTTAAGAGATCGGACATCAAAGAAATAGTTGATTTGCGCATCAGAACACAAAAGAATTTGTCCTTAAAGCGAGGACAAACTAAGCTATAAATC